GCTTCGCTAGCAACCCGGCATTTCATCTCCGACAAAGTTATCCCCGAGAGAAGTAAAGCAAGTGTGTAAGTCCATCTCTGAATGTTTGTAAAGCATTCCTGCGTTAAGCTTAACGAGCGACTGCCTCTCGCTCTCCGGCTGCTACTTCAATCATGAAACTGCTTAATGATCAGCTGATCGGCTTTTCTGTCGCGAGTCCGTCTCTCTTGTTTGTTTTTGGCCCACTTTGCACCAGAAAGAGGAAACCAGCGGCTGAACAACAGCAGCACGTTTAAGCTTGATACAGCTGTTGTTAGAATTTATTTAATATTACTTTCTACTCAGGATCTTTTTCTACGTAGCTGACGGCTGGTAACTGTGCAGGGGCGGATCTAGCAAAGTTTAGCCAGGGGGGCCGATAGGGCATTAACAGGGAAAAGGGGGCACAAAGACATACTTTTCTTTCTTATTCTCATTTAAAATGTCGAGCTTTTAATAAATAATTATCTGACACCCAAAGTTTTAATTTGATGTAAAATGAATAGAAGTCAATTACTGTATATAGTGACTATTAAGTCTAATATATATACCCTAGTAAGCTATAGTACTCTTTACTTTGGGAAGGTACCATCTGTGCAGTCTGCAATTTTGTTGAAGAAAGATGTTGAATCTATTTAATATTTCTTGAAAAATAATTGATTTCTGTGCATTTTTTTTCACACTGCATCAAATTAAGGTTGATTACGTCGATTAAGCATCATGAGGTGGAGCGTGAGGGGTGGTTCCCTATTTTTTATTTATTTATTTTTGTTGTTGCTGGGAGTTGGAACCCTATTAGTTAGGTTGCTTAATATTTATGCTAAGTACTCTTTAAAATACCAGAATAGGGAGGATGGTGTAGGTCTAAGTTTATTAGATTGATCAGTATTGCTGAACTATGAAATATTTTTTTTGTATACAGGTATAACAGAATAGCTTTAGTGTAGTTGTTGTTTTAAACTTGAGTATGAACTTGCAGACTTGCAAAATGCAGCAAGATATTTTAAAAAACAGTTTTGTTGATTAAAAAACACTATATCGGATTCATATCGGTATCGGCAGATATCCAAATTTATGATATCGGTATCGGTATCGGACATAAAAAAGTGGTATCGTGCCATCTCTAATAAGAGGGAAACACATCATCATGTAGCAATTTCAAATATCCAGTGGCCTTGAGGTTTCCATTGATGAAGAATGGACCCACTATCGTTGTCCCCATATACCACACCAAACCATCACTTTTGTTGTTCCAACAGTCTTGGAGGGATCCATCCAATGTGGGTTAGTGTCGGACCAATAGCGGTGGTTTTGTTTGTTAACTTCACCATTCACATAAAAGTTTGCCTCATCACTGAACAAAATCTTCTGCGTGAACTGAGGGTCCTGTTCCAATTTTTGTTTTGCCCATTCTGCAAATTCTGTGCGCCGATCTGGGTCATCCTCGTTGAGATGCTGCAGTAGCTGGAGTTTGTAAGGGTGCCATTTGTGAGTAGCTAATATCTGCCGAAGGGATGTTCGACTAATGCCACTCTCCAGTGACATGCGGCGAGTGCTACGCTGTGGGCTCTTGCTGAATGAAGCTAGGACAGCCACTGATGTTTCTTCATTAGTGACAGTTTTCTTGCGTCCACATTTTGGCAAATCCAACACTGAACCAGTTTCACGAAACTTAGCAAGCAGTTTGCTAACTGTAGCATGGGAGATGGGTGGTCTCGTAGGGTGTCTTGCATTGAAATCTGCTGCAATGACCCGGTTACTGCGTTCACCAGATATCAACACAATTTCGATCCGCTCCTCATGTGTTAACCTCTTCGACATGTCAATGGCTGTGAACAAAGAGAAACTTGTAAATAACTCATGAAAGAATAAAGTTACGTTGAAACCAAGCACACCATTGTTTTTCTTGTGACATTACCAATAAGTTTGATGTGTCACATGGCCCTCTTCCTATTGAAAAAACAAAAGTTGTATCCAAGATGGCCGACTTCTAAATGGCCACCATGGTCACCACCCATCTTGAGGAGTTTGCCCCTCACATATACTAATGTGCCACAAACAGGACTTTAATATCACCAACCATTCCCATGTTATTACGGTGTATCCATATAAATGGCCCACCCTGTATATATATACACACACACACAGTAATGATGCTGCTGACATCTTCAAATGTATATACATTTTTTCTTTAATTCACTGGAAATTCTTTTGAGTGGCGTATTTGGAAAAAAAAAAAGAAATACTCAGAATTTATAACGTTGTCTCAAATGTCTTTAATGCTTGGAAACTAATAGCCTTTTCTGATGGCAGCAAATCAATTGATTATCTCACTCCTTGAGATACCAGCGAGTAATAGATTTTAAGTGGGTCCATATTTGTCTTTGGTAATTAGGCCTTAACTAAAGTACATTTACAAATATCTAATTATATATTGGCCAATGACAACTATACTATATGTTCTTTGTTACGCACTGATAAAATAAACTGTTTTCTTGATCATATCTGAAAAATGATGCGTCAAGTGATTTAGAAATGGTGTAATCACCACAGTCTTTTGAGCACAGTGGCTCCATACAGCAGAGCAGTTCCAAACATGCACCAATAAGACAATTAAATACGATTCTTCATTTTCAGCTGTGGATGCGGGTATTAAAGGGTGTCTGAATCTTGGTGTTAGATCTGTGATGGAGTAGGAGGGAGCTGTTTAGGGTCTACCTCGCCTCTCGCATGACGTCAGTTGGGTTTGATTCTGGCCCCACCGCAACCCTGCTCGGATAAGACGTCAAAAACATGGATGGAAAAAGATGAATAAAGAACATCAGCAGATATATAGATCAGAATTTTTTGCTCTCCTGAAATGGGCTTCAGCCCCATCGGTCTAATTTGTTTTCCCCTGAAGCATCTCTGCAACGGATTTGGCGAATCAAACATGTATTCCACAGAGAGAGACAGAGAGAGCGAGAGGAAAAGAAAACCTGAAAGAGAAACAAGAGCAACAGAGGAAGGGATGAGAGTGTAAAGATAGATGCTATCCGACGGAGATATCATAGAATCCACTGATTACACTGCAGTAAATAATAAACAGCGATCGCATCCTGATTGATGTACATCTGTTGTTGCACTGAATATTTGCCCAGCAAGCATCCGATAGAGTTGCAGACTGTGTTGTGTGACTGTTTAGCCTATATGGAATAATGATGATGACTATTTAGACTTTTAATAAAGCATTCATATTTAACTTTTACCTAATCTATGTCTCTTGAACGTGTTCTGAGAATAAATCAATAAACAGTACTATGAACAGCAGGCATGGGGCTCAGGTGAATGAGAGAATGAAGAGAACACGAGGAGTGCGACACACACACATGAGACACCAAACAAGCAACTGGCGAGATGAAGAAGAGGAGAGGATGAGGTAGGTGCAAAGTTATCACAGTTTATCCCAGCTCCAGTGTGTCACAGTTCAATAGCAGGTATGAGACCAGGTGGAACAAAGCATGGATGGCATACAATCCAGCATATGGCAGGTTCATCAACATCGAGCTTCTCACTTTTCTAGTTGTTTTACACTGGCTGTAAGTGTTTCTGGTTTGATGATGAGGGACCCAGCCTACATAACCAGTACCTTTTGATAGATCACAGTGTTTCACTTTATATTCCTTTAACTTTAAAATGGGGCAATCTGCACAGAAACAACACAACCACACTGTATAAGTGAGTCTAAAAAGGAAGACAGCGTTTTTTTCCACTACTGTTATTTTAAAGCTTTAGTAAATATTTTTTCTGGTATAGTGTTAAAATTTTTTATTTCTAATCATATTACATAAATGATTACAGATTAAGCAATTTATTACTTTACCTCACCTAGATCAGTGGTCCCCAACCTCCGGGCCATGGACTGGTACCGGTCCGTGAGTCGTTTGGTACCGGGCTGCTAGAGTTGAGGCTCAGGTATGAAATTTATGGTTTTCAGGGTTTTTATTGCTATTTTTTAAAAATAATTTTTATTGTTATCTCGGTTTCCCTGGGTCTTTTCCTCTGTGTTATGAATAAATTGTCTTTCTTTTGGTACCAGTACTGGTTTTATTTTGTTGTATTTATCCACGACACCTTAAAAGCTGGTCCGTGAAAATATTGTTGGACATAAACCGACCCAACCAAAAAAGGTTGGGGACCGCTGATGCACGACTATTTGAACATGCCATGGTTTTAAAAAGAGACAAATAAGTACAGGACTAAAAGATTTTTAATAAATGAACTGTTTCTTTTCATTATTAATTCGAGAAAAAGACTGGAAAAGCAGCTGTACAATAAAGGCGTTTTTTACTGGTTTTACTGCTGCTTTCAGTGACTTACAGAGTATACCTTATGTCTATTATGTCTAAATATAGAATGGTGGGTATGTAGGTCCATGTGGGCCAACATTTGAGGCACTCTTAACCCGCAGATATCCTCTCTTTTTGTCCTTTACGCAAGGCAACATTTGTAGCCTGAGGTGCCACACACCCTTCACCAACAGCTCCGGCCCCAAAGCGCCACTGTCAGTGAGGTAGCAGAGGGGGTGGGGATGAAATTCTCCATCACGCCAAAGCCCATCCAAGCAGACCAATGCCAAAGCGCCGTGTGTGTACAAACAATTCAACTGAATCTGACTGGATGTATACTCAGGCCTTATCTGGGCAAAGCCAAATACTCTCTGAGCTATCAAAGGTAATGGATGAGTGATTGGAACTCTAAGTTTTTCGGGCAAATGCAAACACATCTATTACGCTCCACCACTTCAAGCTGTACAAATCAAAATCGGGGCAGCAAGAAGGAAAAATAAACTACACAGCATGTGACTGTTAGGAAACTTGGAAAAAACATCATTTTGCATATCGCACCGATCAGCCTGCAGGTCTAAAACTCTAACTCGGCCAACCCTGCGGCGATGCAACATCAGACACACTTAATGCAGGGAAAGATTTTTTTCTAAATACCTTTTAAAGGATTTGCAAGATAAGCCTGTCGGTCTCTCCTAGAAGGGGCCCCTAAAGGATCCTGGAATCGATGGATGGGAGAGGGATTTACTGTAGGGCAAAGAGGGGGAAAAATGTTATTTAATGCTTGCATGTGAGCAGAATAATGAAGCGGCGAGGATATTCGCATATGCGCTCATCATTATCAGTGCTCCTAATCTGCCATTAAGCAATTCCATCAGCTACAGGGATCTAATATTCGCTGCAAAAAGAGCGTATTTATCATTTACTATGAATCAACTGCTATCAGATGTATTTACATAGTGAGGAAGGAGTGTAAAAACACTCTTGACCCCTCATGCAGAGAGAAGTAAAAAATATCAGTGGTAGAAAATATTCTGTACACAGGCACAGTGACTGAGCTAATCATTCAGGCCTCGCTACTACAGCATTTCCCATAATGCTTACCACTTATCATATAATGCACTAATCCAATAAGGATGTATGGCATCATCCTCGGGTTATTACAAAAACAGATAAAGGAACAAAAAAACCAACCATGATCGTATTAAAGGGATCACACTGTTTAAGTTTAAAAATGCTCATCCAGATTAGCAGCTTACTACATCCAAGGTCCAGGCTAAAGTTATCATCTTGGACTAGTTTTAAATGAATTACAGACTGTTTGCAGTTCTGCGCTATCGGCCACATTCATCATCCAAGATGGCGTCAGCTACCTTTAAATCCTGCAGTGTATAAATAATAAAGCTCCAGCGTAACCGTGCGTTAAAGTAAAGTAGTTTGCTTCTACACAGCTATAAATTCCAACAGTCTCCTGTTTCAGCTAGCATGGCTAAAACTACTGACCACCTATTAGCTTTAGATTCAGTGTTTTAGCACAACACTGTGTACAAGGTCAGCAAGTGCGTTTTTGACATCTTTCTTACAGCCCTTCATTCTTTGCACCCATTAACATTAAAACCTGACAGTCTGTAACATTTTTTCAGCCACATCATGAAGTTAATGCTAGTTAGCTTAGCTAGCTACAGCAAAACTGATAAATACAAACTAGAATCAAGAAGCTAGCTTTGTTTATTGATATCTAAAATCAGCAATTTCAAGTGGTAAATCATACAGTGGTCAAGAGCAGAAGAACAGGAAAATATTTCATGCTAGCTCTCTAAGAAAATTCAGACTTTGCCTTCCCAAGCTGCTAACACCCACAACAAAAACCTACAAATGATGAAAAGCAGTGATTGTAGTCACCACCTCAGCCCAAATTGGTGAAGCAAGGTTAGGACAAGTTTCTTAGAGAACAGGCCGTGCAACAACATCTCTCCGCACACTGAGAACTCTTTTGGAGGTTGTTAAAAGGTGTAGCTTTCTCTCCGACCTCCGGAGAGAGCCCTCAGGAGAGGTTCTCTTGTAAAACGCTCCATCTTATTAATGGAAATAAATGCCGTTAGTGCCCCACCCCTCTTCCCCCACCCCCCCACCACTCCAACAGTAAGACGTGTCTATTCTTGGCTAAAGTCTCCTTCATTAACGTTATCTCAAATAGGCACCGAGTCTGATGGCTAGAGGAGGGACGGCAAGCGGCTAAGCTGCTTCATCCAATTTCATTATTCCATATGAGGCGGGGTATCAGTGTTAACTTTGCTATGTCAGCAAAGCACACGAGGCAGTTGTGCTGTTGTGTGGCTGAAGCATGACATAAGGCGAGAGGTGCCAGCAGCGCACGCTTTGCCAGCTGATCAGATGCTGACAAAGGCCATTCACGTGTTTGTGAGTTTTAATTTCCAAATGCACTCGAATGGCGAGCGAACACATTTCAAGGCTGACTTGCTGTATTTTGGACCGAGTTGGTAAAACAGCACAAAGCTTTTTTTGGAGCCCATATCCTAGCACCTTCTTCAGCTATTTTCTGCTTATGAAATATTTCCCTTTTCATAGCAGCAGCTACCGTGCTGTGAATACGCACATGAAGCTGGAGGACAACAATAACAGTGTGTGTGCTTCAGGGAAGAGGGAGAGAGAGAGGGAGACAGAAACTGAAAGGAAAAGACATGAAAGAAAGGAAGAAAGGGAGAGGAGGGATGAAGAAAGCGTGAAACTGTGGACCGTCAAATGATCTGGCCTCTCTCCAGGCATGATGACTCAGGGATGATGGCACAGTTAGAGCTAATTAGGATCATAAACTGGAGAAATGTTTTGCCACCATGATGTGTGGGGTGCTTCCACACTATTGGCAGGACTTCGCATTAGATGTGAGAGCTAGTCTTGATGGCATGATAAAATAATAATAACAGCGATGATAAGACACAAAAAATCCACTGCCATGAATTAAAAACTTGAAATTTTTAGGTGAGCAAATCTAGTTCAGAATTACCAGACTCAGTTTAGTGAAATGTAACCACACTACAGCTCTGTTTCTGTTTGACTTTGGCAGTCACAATGTAAGAACAAGCATGAAAAGTGCATTTTGGTTGACATTTGGAGTAAATCGAGTGCGTAATTTTGCTATTAGAAATGCAATTTCTTTGCATTTTACAGCTCTGTCTTCACACTAAAACCCTTCTATACAAAGTCCAGCTGCCACAATCCAGATAAGATGAGAGGAGGTGATAAAAACAGCTTTCCATATAACTGTGAAGGTTGTTAGAGATACCAGCTGCATGAAGAATACACCTCATCTACATGTTGTATTGGATGAAAAAGCTAATGTTAGTTACTGTTCCTCTAAAACCTTAAGTAGGAAAGATGAGATAGTATTCTTTATCTTAAATATCAATGCAACAAAAATGCTAAATATTTTTTAAAAACCAAATTATTACCATGTAAACAAGCTGAAAATGAAATATATTTATATATATGTGGTTTTGGTTCATGATATAAATGAAACTGGTATCAGGATGATTTCAAAGGTAGGAAGGTCAATAAAATTTCCCCCTTTTTCATTTTTCTTTTTTTTTGTCTTGTTCTCAGCTGCAAACTCTACAAGGTCCATCTGAAGACAGAAAAATAAGACCTGCCGTCATGTTAACAGCAAAGAAACGGAAACTGCCTGAAAGCAGAGACAGAAAACAAACGATCAAATGTTTAAAACGGTGACCCTTTTTTCATTCTGCATTATTGTACGATCTAAATGCGTTCGGTTTTTGGATTTCTGGTTAGGAAAAACAAGATGCTTAACAATATCGCGCTGTGCCTTGGGAAACCGTGGCAGCGTTTTGTCTTTAGTTTGCAGCCAAAATGAATATTGACTCAACAAAAAAAAAAAAAAAACATTCAAAGCACACATACACACACACAGTGGAAAAAAAAGATGTCTGAATTGTTCCTTTAAATTGTAATCCCTACTCTTACTGGATAAACAAATCACCAGCTTGTTGCTCCCAAAGCATCGCACATGTTCCCTTGTTAAAAACTCTCTCATCGATCTAACGTGCATCTCAAAACATACACAATAGTTACACTATTGCTCGGCTGTTGCTCACATCTGGCATCAGCCCAACAGCAGCAGCAGCAACAACAACAACAAAAACTTGCTTGACAGTTGCTACGAGACATCCAAACTCTCTTTTACACAACAGGCTCTCTCATGTTGCGTTGTTTTGTGGACTGCAGACGCATACACATTGACGGGAAGCGATAATGCCGCCGAGTTGCCGTGCCATATCTGTGTTTATGAAGACTGACAGCTCCCCGCGAACGGCGACATGTACCGGGCACACAGGCGACAAGAACACACACACACACGCGTGCACGCAAACAAATTAACACACACAGAGGCATCACTCTGGAGCGCAATTTCCATCAGAGCGGCACACGCGCATTAGTGGCATGCAGTGTAACCAGCTCTCAAATGTCTCCACCAAAGTAGTCATTGTTGTGAAAGCTCTTGTGGACAGGCTGATGAAGCGTAACACATGACTAACTCAATTAAACTGTGTTTTTGTTGTCATAGCAACAAGTGCAACAAGGTATTTGCAATGAGTAATACCCTTATCTTTCCAACTGTGGGAGTCATCAAACAACAGGCTAATTAACTTAAGTGTCACCTTCTGCATTTTTTAAATCTGCATCTGTGCTTTTGATACTTGTTCTGATTCATTCTCTCCGCAGCCTGACTGAGGCAGCTCTTGCACTCCGCGTGTTATTGAGACATTTCGCCATGAAATTTGTTTTCTGGCCCTGAACTTTAAGTACAATTTCTCACTGCCGAGCTCCAAAAAAGCCAAGAGGGACTATTACCAGATAATTACTAATTATGCTAATGTGCTAAAGTTGTGCTATTCCTTTTCCTTGGTCATTTTATCAGCTGTCCTCAAGAGACCACAATGAGTAGTAATAACCTTTTTTTTCCCCAGCCCCCTCCTCCGCCCACCAGCTAAACGCTCAGTCAGCTAGAGGACGCCGTGTCCTAAACTGCAGACTCCTCCGCCGCTACCCTTAATCAGGAAGTGCCTGTAAATTCGCAGAGCCATGCGTGCGCACACCGCAGAACACGGCGCCGCTTCCATCGGCACTGACCTTCATTAACCTCATAAATGCCAGCGGTGTTTCTGTTGCAGCTCTTAATGCGGTTATCAGCACAAACACAAACAAATGTGACAGAAGTGTTTCAGGAATAAAACTAGTGCTTTTCATCTGTGAAACAAACCTCTCTCTCTTTCACACACACACACACACACACACACACACGCACACACACACACACTGTGTGACATTGGGCTATCCCAACATGGAAACCAAGCACCAATAACTGCATTCCTCAACCAGAAACCTTCCCACTCCTGATGACAATGACCCTACACCAGGAAACTGGTGCAAGGTGTGCATTGGCTCAGGTCCTCTCTGTGTTACCGCAGAGTGAGTTTATTTATCAGTGGATTCTGCATGTGAATGTAGGCCAATGCAGAGACCATACTGCAACTGTTACAATGCATGTGTGCATGACGGGGACAGTTACGCTAACATTAAACAATGATCTGAATGAATGCTGAATAAAACACTGTCATCATCCTTAAAGGTCTCTCACACATCACTGCAGACTCTGCTTGGACCACTTTCACTATTCCAACTTAAATGTAATAATTTTTTTAGCCAGATTTACTATTGAGCATTACGACTGTTTTTTCTTTTTCTTCTATTATTACTCACATTGAGCTTTTTTATTTTTTATTCTCAAAGACAGCATGAGCATCCTGGATTCTATTTAAAAGGAACCTTCGATTTATATATACTTGCTTTTTCTATAATTTATATGCTGCTTAAAAAAGAAAAAACTTGCAGTTTTGTTATGGGTGGGGGTGGAAGGGGTGGGGCTTATTTGACAGATGTTGGTAGGGAGGCAAACAGCAAATGACAGGAGAAAAATGGACATGACATTCAACACGTGTCCGTGCAGCTGGAATTAGCGGCAAGATGTAAACAACGCATAAAAAATGAAGAGTTGCAAACAGAGTCTCCAAAGTATATGAAGTTCAAAGCCAAATCTGGAAGATTTGCAAGGTGTACGAGGTTTAGCATGAACACAAGTCAACAAAAAAGCTCCAAGTGATCAGTCATAAGCAGTAAAGACCTTAAAGGACAGTGCAGCAAATAACAGCTACGAAGAATCGTGTTTCCTACAAAGCAATAAAGGCAAAACAGGTAAAGGTACTATATCTAAGACAAACAACACTGACAGACAGTGGGCTAGTGTGGTTACGTAATTCAATTAAAGCAAAGGCTGTTTTGTGTGCATTTTGTATACCGTCTATGAATTTTCAAATACTGCTAACGCTTCTATCACAACTGTGAAAACACAGCTTGTTCTCTCCGACAGGCTGCAACACATCTTCTTTAATCTCAGAGCTATTTTGGTCATTCCGAAATACATTCCAATACAAGAATGTTTGGTTTTCTTCCAGTAGCATCAGTGACTAGCACTAGCAGACAGTAATATTACTGGTCTGCACAGATACCTGGCTAATTAAACCAGTGCAGATGCAAAGTTCTTCAAATTTGTGAAATCGTAAAGGACAGTCTGCTCTGAGTCTGTGCCCCCTCTTCTTGACCTCTGCCCCTCAACTCAGCGGCGCCTCTATCACCACCGTTAGCGCTGAGAGGGAAGCGGGATGATACGGTACAGCCAGGAATTCCACTCACTCTTCCCTCCCTCTGCTTGGTGAGATGTCAGATAGTCACAGAGGATCACTGGGTGGGTGGGAGAGTGGGGGGAGAGGGTGTTTTATGTTGATTGACCCAGCCGCCGAGCTAATGTTTACTTGCGCCTCTCCAGAACGGAGATGTTCAAATGCGTGTAAACCCTCGCATCCCTCCACCTCAACTTTCACCGCCGCCACGGCAGCCCACACTCGACCCGTCTGTCGCCGTCGCCAGCTCACCAGGAAGGAGAGCGTAAGCAGTAATTGCTATATAAATTATGTTACACTCTGTGTTTTTCACATTTCCCCCCTCGGCGCTCTTGATGATACGCTGATATACTGTACTGAGAGTGCAGGGTGATAAGTGTGGCTGTAAAAAAAAATAATGTTGGCCAATAAATCTCGGCGGTGCTTATTTTTGTCTGTAAGAAAGGCACACTGTGGATAAAAGAGCAGGAATATGCTGCACATATGCCGCGGTTTAACCAGGTCACATCGTACAGATGACTGACAGGCGGGAATCTACAGGCAGATTTGTCAAAAATCAGGGGAGTGCATCATTCACCCAGATGTGCACGACTGTATTTGTGCAACTGACGTCCCTTTAGGGACACAGAGCTCACGGCTGTGACTAATTAAGAGGCAGATCCTCTGTGTGTCCACGAGTCCATCTGAGGGGGATAACTCTGCTCACACTGTGCTTAAAGAACAGCAAAAAAAAAAACAAAAAACCAGCGAGTGAGGTGTACATCTGCACAACACCGAGCTGACAGGAGTGCTGGAACCAGAACAATCTGAGGAGGCGGCGGCTGTCAAACAGCAGCTGAAAAAGCAGCTGATGGATTCAGTAAGGTGTGTGATTTTTAGGAAATCTGAGCAGGAGCAGTGAGGGCCGCCTGCTAAAAAGATGTTAGCAAATACATCCCCAGGCTGTAATCTTCACTCTTTACTTATTTATCCTGCCCATCCAAAAGAAATGAGCAAACACACCCAAAAAAGAAAAACAAAAAAAGGAGTCTGATGGAAAAAGAAATTAATCGAAGTTGCTGAATCTGCTTAGAACCTTTTGAATACACACGCAGGTTTTAGTCCATCTACAAATAATCTGCAGCCTTTTCAAGGGATTAAGCCACAAATGCCACCAAATAATCCCTCAGTGATTTATTTATTTATTTATTTATTTTCCTTAAAGTCTATACACATAATTGTGTGGAAATCTCGAGATGATGCTCGGCTGGCATTTGAGATGAAAGATGACGATGATCGGTTAAAAAAAAATGGAAACTGGAACCCTTCAGTCTGAAACCGGGCTTTTATTTTGACAGTTTTATGAAACGTTTAAATGTGAATACAAGCGTCAAGACAGGAAGAGCAGAAGAGTCAGCGGCCATCAGCGCGTCCCGAAGCCACAGTTCATTTACAGCCGGCCCCTGAACTGGCCCCTAATGTCCCGTGTTATCAGAATGAATCAGCAGAGCTGATAAATTAGCTGCTCGGAAATACACGCAGCGAGGGCCTGTCAGCTAATGTGCGCGCGCGCTTGTGTGATACTCATATGCAATGCTTAATGTTGTGGAACCAATTCTGTCGTTTTCCATTATGTAAATACATTTGCCTCAGCACTATATTTTATGTATTGTCTCCCTTGTCTCAATTACTTGGGCTATTAAAAATCAAGAGGTTATGGAAATGAGATGCAGTTGTCTGTTTTGTAGTTTGATGACAAGTGCAAAGTGTTTATGAAAGCTCGTTATGCATTCAATTGCAGTCGGATACGTCAACACGCTCCGAGCGTTCATCCATATTCCACAATGCAATGGGGTGGCACGTCAGTGTCTTCAAGCATAAACAACACAAACGGTCGTGTTATCATCTGTTATGCGTATAAATAAATAAAAATAAATATTGCTTAAATCTTCCTCCTCCTTTTTTATGGAGATGGCAGAAAAAGAGGAGGTGAACAAAAAGCAAAGAGTTTGAGGCCTGTGCCAGAGCAAACAAGTGCTCGGTGATTCAGTTCAGTATTAATTAGCCAAATAAGAATACCTGAGGAAATAACCGGCGAGGTTTTTATTTTTCTTCTTCTAAAGAATCAAAGCATTCCCTGACATATCAATAATAGCTCCTTTCTTGATCTTTCAAAATGTCACTTTGCAGCTCTTTTCCCTCTGTGAAGTGCAGCACGAAGGAAGTTGGGATAAAATTACTCAGCAATCACGGATTAATTTTAGCAGCGAGCAATGCTGCGTTTTCACTTGTGACCACTTTTCTTGTTTTTTTTCTTTTTTTAAAAAAGCAGGAATGCAAAGTCTCAAAGTGAGAGGTGCTGAGGTGGAAATGTTTCATCAGCCAGAGTGCTGTGAATTGTATTATTTTTATTTATTTAATTTTTTTGCATCATATACATAATATTTCACAAAGGTAAGAGTGTCACTGGCAGAGAGGATGCAGGGCATTTAAAACACACAAGGGATTTGTTTACCATGAACCCCCGTCAGCATCCATTACAGCATGGCTGCAGGGACAGGCGCTGAGCCTTAGGAAAAAAAATCCTCACTGTTATTATGTTTCAGTCACTGGAAATCAGCATGCTTTTCTGTTTTCATTACACATATAATTGGCTGTTTTACAGTTTGTCTCCAATTGTTAATCCACTGATTTCTTCATTAGAAGCTCCATAAAAGGAGGCTGAAAGCTTGGAATTAGAAACAGGCACAAATAAAAAATATCAAGACAAAAAAAACAAAGAAATATTATTTTGAAGGGCCAGATAAAATAATTGTAGGTCCCTGCTCCTTTTGTCTCCCTGTTGCAGGCCCATAACTGAGTCCTAAACTTGAGGCTTCTCTGTGTAGCAGTACAGCAGTGCAGTTTTAGCCTCTAATGGGTAAAAATTCTGTTTAGATGAGACAACAGGGAAAAAAAAGGAAAAGGACAAAAAAAATGTGAATTATTGGGATTTTGCAGTGTTTTCCAGCGTGGAGGAGGATGCTCTTTAATTATGCTACATTTTGAATATTTAAACTTACTGACAAGAACTGATGTGGCAATCTAACTGAAATTATGGAAGAAATCAGTGAGGACAGGATTCATGTGTATGCGCTGCTTAAAAAAACAAACAAATGAAGAAATCAGTGTTAAATATTGACAGCAGCCGTTCTGTCTACCGGAGAGCACGTTTAAAGCTCCATAAGAGCGAAATAATACTTTCATTCTCCGCTGTCCCGTTAGGTATAAGACACAACGAAGGCTCTGCGAGGACGACGCACGCAGCGGCAACTAAACTTTACACGAGAAAGGCGATTTAAAGCCGCCGTCTCCTCCTAAACAGAGATCACGTTTTGGTTTTTTTTCTTCAGTCACATTTCAAATATGCACTATTATCCAAAGCCGCCGTTATCGGAGCAGGAGCAGCAGCGAGGTGCAGGCTCCACCGGGCTGCCGCCTGTGCGCTCCGATGCTCCGCCAAGGTGCGCACGACCTCTGGAGAGAAAAGCCAAAAAAAGAAGAAAAAAGAAAAAAGGAAACAAGTGGTCTAAAGTTTCTTTTCCGTTCTTTCTGTTTGCTTTTACCTTTTCTCTTGGATCGCCTCCTCCTCCTCCTTCTCAGCTTGCATTTCACCTGGCCGCCCTGAGCCCCCGACGCGCGGCTGTTGTTTCCAAGTACGGATGCCATCAGCGCAGACCTTTGGAGCGAGGCGCAGGGATAACTTGAACTCGGCGGCTCGATTCTCCTTTGTACTTGTCTGGCGTCAGCCTCCGTTGCTCTCTGATAGCGCTGCGTCCTCGGCTTTGACGAACACTCGGACTATATTTTCGGCTCTTCTTCTTTTTTATCCCTTCAAACCAGGGAGAGGAGCTTCGCGTCTTGCTGTTCCTGTATCACCTCAGAAACTCCAGCTCGCCTCCAGCTCATAGAGAGACTGTGTTCGCAGCGCAGCGTGGCAGCTCTCAGCAGCACTGATCCCGGCTGCTTCGCTCCTCTCAGCCAGTTTTTGCCGCGCCTCTGCAGAAATTTTGGCATCAGCCACTTTGAATTCAATCATGCAGGACGCCTATCTATTTGCTGCCGAGCTTTCTAATTAGGGTCCAATCCTGGCTGTCTGGGAGGTGTGACATCACCAGCGACACCCACCAGCTCACACCCCTTCTTCACCCAGTGCTGTTTTAAAAACGTTTCGTCTCATTCCACTTTTTTACTTCACTTTTTTTTACATGGCAGGGGAACTGTGTTCTTCTCAGGGAGGGGAAGGGGTCAAAGGTCAGGCAAGGATAGGACGTTTACCATCACCAAAGTACCAAATGTGGTCTTCTGCTTCATATACTGCCTGCTGCAAACCCAGTCACCACTAACTTGAGGCTCAAAGGAGAGACAGGGATGCAGAATGAGATGAGTGCTTCTCCTTTCTCTCCTTGTACAGTTGTGTTTGTCTTGCAGGATTTAGGATTTGCAATCTTCTTGTGGGATTAATGTTCTGAAATAAATTCCCTCTCTGTGGTCTGAAGTCATAGATGTCCATGGAGGAAGAATATTCTCAGACGCATTGCTCAGCTGTCTTTTCAAAGGCATCTTTAACGGACTTTTTTTTTTTCACGTAGGTCTTACGAAACGTATTTTATTCTGAAAATCCTGTTTTGACTTTTGCAGGTGACCTTCATCACACATGGCAAAAACTCTTAACGGTGTGTTGTATTCGTAAAGTTTGAAGATTGTGACATTTTGGCATTATTGTGTGAAAGCGCGGTGTGAAGGCTTTCACAAAGCATTTGTGGTTTACCTAGCTGCAGGTAATTGTTTTATTCCCCCGGCCTCTGCAGCAGAAGGTCAGGTGTGCGTTGGGAGGAGGCGCTATGGTACTGCCGGACACATTCAGGAGCTCGGAATAAATGCAGGTTTGTTAAGCCCTAATCAAGAATGCATTAAGCTTGTACAGCTGTTTCTTTTTTCTTTTCTTTTTTTTTTTTTTTACAGTTGGTGAATAAATAAAAGAGAGTGATATTTAATACCTAACAAAACATGGCCTGCTGTTGCCTTGATTTTTCCCCCCAAAAGACCCCCTTTACCTTCACAGGGCCCCAGCCGCTTTAGTTTTTATGATAAGAAAAAGAAAAAGCAGTGCTTTTGCTGAAGAACCAGCATGACACGTTTGCTGATGTCAGATTGAAAAGTCACTTTGAGGCTTTGTTGTTGGGTGGAAACATTTCCTCCCAGCCTCAGGGGCAGGGAGAAAGAGAGAGAGAGAAAGAACGAGAGCGAGGGTGCCGGGGCCGTCCGCCAGGCTGCAGTCTGCCCTCAGGACACCCACAAATATCCATGTAAATTGCAGTTTAAGAGAAATCAATATAAGTGACAAGTTGCCAATGCCACTATCTGGGGCAGTAATGAAGGTGTGCTGGCGGGGGGGCTGGAAAATACACAGATAACAGCAAACTGGCTGAGTGGGGTGGAGGTACAGGTTAGAGGAAAGTGTGTGTGCACAGACACACATGCACAGCAAGGTCAGTAAGTGATGGATGCAAAGAACCACTAACTAACCTGGTTATCTTTATGTTCAACAGTACCTATGGCTGTACTAACTCAGTGCTCTACAAACACTATATAGCAACATGTTTCTTTAACTGTAGTCTACTTGATTGGTGAGAATTGAGCCCGATAGATTGTAAAAAAGATAAAATCCGTTAGATATCAGTAACAATTACTTTTTTAAAGGTTGTATCTATGACATAAATGTTAAAATACAAGCAGCAGGAGACAATATTATTAAATTTATCTGATTATTTATCTCCATTAATTGACTGTTCTGCATCTATAAAACTGTTTACACTGTTCTATTGAAACACGCGCACGCACGCACGCACACACACACACACACACAAGGAGCACTGCATGTTCCCAGATATTCAGGAGAAATTTTAAAGGTACAGGAAATCCTTCTTTTAAGGGTATTTAATTTCCTACTCACCTTAAGCCTCGCCTCTTGAACTGAAGTCAGTCTCTAACACACAAAAACAGGCAAAAACATATTTATTTATTCTTAATATTGCAAGAATTACTTATTGTCAGTGACCTCTCCATCTCTGAATAGCTGACAGCAATCCAGCTAAAGAACCACAACAGTTGGTTATAAGCTAATATTATCTCACCTAATGTTGGGCTTGAGTGTCCTAAAAATTACACTTTCTCTCTGATAGGTTAATTAAATAGGTTAATTACATACTCATATGAGTTTATTCACCAAGTATCTGAGTTCAGCAATGTTAGATCCACTTTACAGTTTCACAAACAATGGCTAACAGAGGCTAACACTGGCAAAAACAGCAGCTAAAAGAGGCTAACATGAACATAAACAGCATCTAAAAGAGGCTAACGTGAACAAAAATAGCAGCTAACAGAGGCTAACATGAACAAAAACATCAGCTAAAATAGGCTAACATGAACAAAAACATCAGCTAAAATAGGCTAACATTAACATAAACAGTAGCTAAAAGAGGCTAAAATGAACAAAAACAGCAGCTAAAAGAGGCTAAAATGAACATAAACAGCAGCTAAAAGAGGCTAGCATGAACAAAAACAGCAGCTAACAGAGGCTAACATGAACAAAAACAGCAGCTAACAGAGGCTAACATGAACAAAAACAGCAGCTAACAGAGGCTAACATGAACATAAACAGCAGCTAAAAGAGGCTAACATGAACAAAAACAGCAGCTAACAGAGGCTAACTCTGATAACACTGCAACTAACAGTTGCTAACAGCAGCTTAAAAAGCCTAACAGTTCCTAATTTTGGCAAGGTTATCCTTTAAAAATCACCTCAGATTTGCTATCGAACAGAAGTGTTCTTCACTGAGTTTTCAACTGGTATCAGAGTCCTTTCACAAAGATTTACAGCCTCGTTCAGAGCAAATAGGCGTGGAAACATACTTACAGCTGATGTTAACAGTGAACTGACAGCTTACACTCACTAAAGATGAATGGCGCCCAGAGTTGTTTGTTCTGCAGTAGGCACTATAACTAGGATTATGCACTTGAATTGGGAGGGGTACACAGCTCAGTTGACTGCAATCTACAATCTGCTGACATCTAGTCGTGAGCAGTGTTGGTCAAGTTACTTGAAAAAAGTAATTAATTACCTAGTTACTTTTTAAAAACACGATTTACAACCTGAATAGGTGATAAAGCGATAGATCTTTCAGCCCAATTCTACTTTTTCTACATAATCCATCATACAAAATGTAATCAAATGGAAAAGTCTCTTTTTAAAACTTGTTTTATTAGTTTTAATCTTTTAACTTTATGCATCAAGCAAAAATTTAATTATATGCAACATTCTCTGACTTGAAGAAATTAGTTTAACATTTAAACCTATTTTCTGCACATTCCAGCACATAAAATAAAATATTTTTTGTGTTTACACTCACTCTTTCAAATAGATGCAAGTAAAACACAGCAGAAAATAAATAAAGTCAAAGACTAGCGGTCCTGTTGCTCTATTTTCACCTGTAAAGCAGGAGTGGTAGGCGGAGGTTTACCCTGGTGCAGGTGTGCCGCAGCGGTCAGTGGAAGAATCCGCGAGTTTCTCTGTGAGTTTCCCATTACGTCGTAGCGCACTCGGTGCTTGCTTGGAAGTTTAGGGTTTTTTTCGCTGTAAAAAGAAGTTTTCTTCCCACGCACAACGGACGCTAATGTTTTTGTCACTTTTTATGGAATCAAACTCAAAGTAAGGTCAGTACTTCCACGCTTTAAACGCTGCACGCTCATACTCTCTCCCGCACTCGATATATGATCCATTGTTGATCTGCACACAGCTGTTGTCACGAACGTCGCACTCGCTTACGTCACTGTCATGAGACATTCTCGCAAAAAAATCACGGTTTTAGTAACGCAGTAACGCAGCGTTCCTACGGGAAAGTAACGGTAATCTAATTACCGTTTTTGCAATAGTAATCCCTTACTTTACTCGTTACTTGAAAAAAGTAATCGGATTACAGTAACGCGTTACAAGTAACGCGTTACTGCCCATCTCTGGTCGTGAGATTTTACAGACTGTACCTTTTTGCTTGAAAGTGAACTTAAAAGTAAAGCTAAATTTATAGTATTATAAAACACGGTTCTTTTTAAAGAAGCTACTAGGAAGAAATATTTGTTTCTGTCAACTAAGCCATTAATTAATTTTAAACTTAAGTGGAAATAAGCGGAGAACATGTTTAATTAATTACCTCAGATTTACTCATATCAATCTCAAGAGCTGGCCTAATAAGGTTTATAAAAACATGTAATAACTATAATTCACTCAAAGGGCACTCACAATGGTTTTGAGATTAAACTTCCTCTCTTAGACAATTTTTTAAAAGATGGGGGAAGTAGAGGAAGCTTAGATATCTTGATATTTTTTTTGGTAGACGAATTATCCAAAATACATTTCCCATAATGCATCTTAGATCACCCTCCATGCCTGGAGAACATCCAGTTTTTCTAAATGTTAATTTAGTTCAATTCAGTTTTATAATTGCTATATATCCAAAATACAGGAAACTTAAGACTGACTACTGCAAAGGAAAAAAAAAACCCATTCATGACATGTAAGTCAAGGTTAAATCAGGGCACAAAAAATATCTGCTTACGTAAAAAAATCACACCAAACATATAATGGAATGTTCCAGTATTTCTGTGTTTACTTATGAGACGTATTTTGCCAAACACTTGGCATTAGTTTGATGTCATATCTATGGATTAAAGAGTTAGATTTAAATTGTGATTACAGCAAACACGTGGCAACGGCTCCTCTTTTTTCCATCATCAAATCAGGCACCTGCAATCTAAGATAAGGAGGCCAATCAGTACATTGCTCAGACACATTCATTTTCTGCACTTTTGATTTGTGTGTGTATATATATATATATATATATATATATATATATATGAATATTTGCTGGAATATGACTGTCTTACAATTAAGAGACAGTTGAGTTCTTCTCATCCACCACCTGTGATTGCCTTCGCTCTCTTTTTTTGTAGCTGTATTCATTATTAGAATAATTAATATAGCAAACTCGCTCGGTGTTCAGGTAAGGTTGTCTCCATGGTAATACATGTGTTGTGCTCTAATCAAAATGCTGTAATTACCAGTTGTTTTTCTTAACTCTCAGTTGAGAAACAGTTTGTGTCAACACTGAGGAGTGTTTTAGCCTTGAGACATCTCTGCAGGAGAAATGAAAGCTGCTACGGCTCTCAGGAAGTCTTCAGCCCACGGTACAACAGCCCTGTCTGAAAAATATGTGCCGTTTTTTTCAGTGCATGCTTTTATATGTTACCAGTTTTTCGAGCATTGTTTGGAGCGTTCACTTTGCATTGTTGCCTTCAAGTTGTGACATTTTTCGTCTCAATCTCACACCCTTCGATGGCTTTTCAAAAAGAGGAAACAAACAGGACCCAGAATATTGTGGTTTTAACTGTGTCGCATTAAACAATGATGCTGCTTGATGGAAATAGCAGGAATTTAGTGAGACCAAGTTAACCAGCTTATCAACCCTCCCAGTTGACATAGTGGAACTGGAAGCCTAGGGAGGCCTATCATCAGTCTCAGGGTGAGTATTGACTTTAAGCTTTACTGATGTTTTTTACAGGCATGGGATGGTAGTAGTGAAGGTGGGGAGGATTAGGTGGCTGTGGCCTTATCAGGTGCTCAGGCTCCTCACAAGGCGAGCGACTGGGAGACTCACACACACCTTCATCTCCCTTCCACAGCCGGTTTGCTCCTCAGACTCTAATCCAGCAGCACTTATAAGTCAGGCTGCACTCGCGTACTGTGTGTCGCATCCGCACTGTGCAAATAATGAGCATGTGAGAGCGTGTAAACAGGCTGTAATGTGTAAGATATGCATTTCTGCTTTTATGTTGCAAACGCAAAGTAGGTTTGCTGTGATAGAGAATCGCAGTACCTCTTATCTTTT